AGCCATTTATAGTGTCAAAATGGATCGCAAAAGCGTACACATTTGATCAGATAGATCTTAACTTTAAATTTGGTATAAGAGGCCCCACAAATGTATTAAATCAGGACTACCGCTGTATATAATTGCTTTTATTCTATCCATGCCTGCCATTTTGGCCGCCATGTTGAATTTACGAGCTTCAATATTGGTCAAGAGTAATTTTTGACTTCATATTCGTAATGTGCGACCCAAAATACATGAGAAACGATACCCCACTCGACGTCATACGCCGATACCAAAAAAACCGGTTTCGATTGGCGGCCATTTTGGCCGCCATATTGGATTTTGGGTTTTTTTTTACGGGCCGCACGGTGAGTTGTAACTCTGTTTTGAAACCTGGGACCACACAATACAATCATTGGCCGCCTTACTAGACGGCCAAATGAGAACTAAGCGATTTTCGCGCCGGGTGGGTATTTTCAGCCGCCATGTTGGATTTGCGACATTTTTTTTTTGATCGGAAGGTATTTTAAACATCATATTCGGATTTTACGACCCAAAAAACATAGGAATCGATACTTCACATGCCATAATACGGAATTTTCAAAAATAAGGGCTACCGAGCGGCCGCAATTTTGTTTTTGGGCTTTGGGCGCTTCCTGCACGATTTTCAAGGTTATCACCATCCAAATACTGATTCTAGCCATCATAACGAAGAGATTGATACCACTCTCCAACTTTTTTCAGAAAGTTGCAAACGGGACTGGATTTTTGTACATTAGAGGTTCGACTACAAGATTTGTACTTTCACTCCATCTTCATCCATCCACCATCATCTCTCCTCTTAAGTACCCCTATCTATAAAGCGGTGTTTACCCCTATTCAGGTTGTCTACTGAGGTCCAAAAAAATAAAATAAGTACTTTTTCAGTACTTTTTAGGTACTTAAGGAAAAATTTAAGTACCTCGCCTTGGGGAAAAATTAGGTACTTTTTAAGTACCTTTTCGATATGTATCGCAATTCTTCGATTTTGGCACTGCCGCGCGCTTTACTTCGGCTATTCCCGTGGCCTTTTCGACTGTTTCCGTCAAATCTAGGGAAATGCCTTATTCCGCTCCTCTACAACAACCGCGCTTTTACGGGCTGACGTTGCACTAATACGCCTGACGGACAACCCACAGAGGGTTGCTTAACTATCAGGCGATCGAACTGAACGCGCAGCGCAAAGCGCGAAAAATTACGGACCTTCCGCGAGATTTACGTACTTTAAAGGTACTTACGGACCGACCTTCAAAAATGCGTACTTTTTCCGGACTTTCCGGACTGGTAGACACCCTGCTATTCTATTGTACCTAATTGGCTGCCAATTGTGGGGTTGTGCAGCCAAAACAACCAGATAGAAATAATCCAAATGAAAATCCTCAGAAATATCGCTAAAGCACAATGGTACGAGAGAAATGCGGATATGAGAGCGGATCTCGACATTGACTCTGTAGAGGATTACATTACAAAAATGTATATCTCCTACGAAAATCGTTTACACAACCATCCGAATCCAGAAGCGCTTGCACTGCTGTTCAAGGATGACGGCGTAAGGAGATTAAAACGCAGGAAAACACATGACCTTGGAATCCACGGTTTTTCAAAATTATTACCATAATAATTAAAATCTTTGAGCGCCTCCTATTGCTCTCAGGACTTGTCAGGAGACACTTGGTTTTTGGACGGGTCAGCCCGTCGTAATCCAGTTAAAATGAAAAGACATTTTTATTTCAAAATAATTATGTGCTATTTTACACTCCAGTTAGTTTTAGGCAGTACACTTTAAGTTTAACCTTAATCAATAGCTAGTTAAAGATAAGCTAACAAGGGGAACTTCCCAAGCTGCCGCCTCCGATCGGGCTGAAAAAATTCGTACGAACTCTTTGAATGAATTTATTTGACCCGTATTTTTTTGTTTTTTCCAATGCCCCCCAGAAACACCCCAAAAAAATTCCGGAAAGTTTTGCTTTGAGCGCTTGAGTCTATAAACGCAGTATAGCAGTACTCACGTTCCGTCTAGTGGTGGCTCTGCAGTAGCGCGCTTGCCCAGTGATACACTGGGCCCGGGTTTGATTCCCGGGCGCCGCGCCTAATTTTTACGACCGAATTTTATATTCTCACACATTTTCACATCGATTCCCATTTGATACATTAGAACTTAAAACATCAATTAATTTACAACCATCAACGATCAATAACTTCTTCAATTTGAAGTATAGATTTTTTTTGGAGGGGGGGAGGGGTCACGCGCGCGATATTATTCTCGCCAATCACTGTACTTTCACATTAGCAGACGACCCGCTCCGCCCACACACATCAACATATTTCTCCCGATCACCCGTATGCGTCATGATTTTTCCCATCATTATCCAGAAAATGATAATGAAAAATTACTTCGAGCATTCAAATTAAAAATGCTACAATTTTTCATTATCATTTTCTGGATAATGATGGGAAAAATCATGACTCATACGGGTGATCGGGAGAAATATGTCGATGTGAGGGGGCGGAGCGGGTCGTCTGCTAATGTGAAAGTACAGTGATTGGCGAGACTATCGCGCGCGTGACCCCTCCCCCCTCCCGAAAAAAATCTACACTTCAAATTGAAGAAGTTATTGATCGTTGATGGTTGTAAATTAATTGATGTTTTAAGTTCTAATGTATCAAATGGGAATCGATGTGAAAATGTGTGAGAATATAAAATTCGGTCGTAAAAATTAGGCGCGGCGCCCGGGAATCGAACCCGGGCCCAACGGATCACTGGGCGAGCGCGCTACCGCAGAGCCACCACTTAATAGTAAGTAGTTGCTGCTGTACTGCGTATATAGACTCAAGCGCTCAAAGCAAAACTTTCCGGAATTTTTTTGGGGTGTTTCTGGGGGGCATTGGAAAAAACAAAAAAATACGGGTCAAATAAATTCATTCAAAGAGTTCGTACGAATTTTTTCAGCCCGATCGGAGGCGGCAGCTTGGGAAGTTCCCCTTGTAAGTTAAGATAAAGCATTTCAAAGACATTTATTATGTCTAAATGTAATCTTGTACAATGTTAAATATTTTGTGCAAATAAATAAATAAAAAAAATTCTATTGTAATAAATTTAAGAAAAAATTTGTAAAGACCCGTAAGGTCTAAAAATGGACTTAGTACTTAATTCTTTATGTGTAAATACAAAAAGAAATAATAATAATAAACAAAAAAAAAAAAAAAATCCAACAATGAAAGCTGACTTCAATATTCGCCCTTGATATCATAACTGTATAGTTTTGTATATACTCTTTGCATAATTAGTTAATTATCAAAATACCAAGAATTCATCCAAACAGGCACTGGATTAAACGGAGGAGGTAACACCTCAACCAGGCCGGTGACCAAGGACCAACAGTTTTCAGCTGTTGCTCAGTTGGCGGAGAATCTTACCTGATATAAAATTTATCGTCTTCTCGACTTGTTTACTTATGAGCAGACAGATGGAAACGAGTAAAAATATGCAAATGAGATTACATTGATCCCTCAGCTAGTCAGCTGGCGCAGCAGACAGTCTCTGGCAATAAGGAAACTATAATTAAATCATAACTATGAGGGTTTCACCATGAAAAAAGGACTCATGTATATCTCAGATAAGATGGTAAGGATAACCTCACTTTCGTGATATGCTTTGATACATCGGAAATAATTAAATCATTTGATGCGATTTTTACGTTTCTGGGGATGTTCTTATCAACTAGCGAGTATGAAGAGCTTATTATCGCAAGAAAATGTAATGCCACTAACAGTCTGAGAATTCCTTTTGAAAATTTGCCTTAAGTTTTTATGGAGAAATTCATGTATTCGTGAAATAAACGAACGTAGAGTACCAGTTGTGACGTCACACAACGGCTATACTCTCCCTCTATTCGTAGTTTTAAATTTTCCCACCAAAAATGTTTTAATTTTAAGGAGCTTTTTTGAGGTGTTTGGGGGGTCAAAAAATTCAGGGAAAAATTCATTAAGCTGAGAATGATGCACACTATTAGAAAACAAATTAAAAAAAAATAGGTGAATAGACCTATTTGGGGAAAACCCGGATATTTGAGATGAACACGGGGAAAAAAAATTGCTGATTCAACAATTCAATTGCTAAAAACAGTGAGTGCAATGTTTCAACGCAGATTTTACAACCAAAAACTGCTACTTTAACCACATTGTAAACTAATTTAACCACGGGGGTGGTTAAAGGAGCATTTTTTTGTTGTAAAATCTGCGTTGAAACATTGCACTCACTGTTTTTAGCAATTGAATTGTTGAATCAGCAATTTTTTTTTTCCAAGAAGGGTCACTAAGGCTCCTCCTTGGAAAAAGCAAAAAAGTAACTTACGCTTTTATTACCTAATGTATGGTGTTTCTGCCTTTGATACAACACTTAAAAAAGGTTTAATTTCTGTCCTTTCACAGAAATTAATGACTTTAACGTTTTGGGAAATGAAGAGACAGCAAGGATCATTTTGCAGAATAGCCGATAATGCAATGTTCAATCACTCATTTCCAACAGCATGCCACTTTTTTGCTTAGGACAAATGATGGACGTCTGTCTGTGGCCCAGACATTAAAGAAAAATAACAAAAATGATTCTGTGGTGGAAAATTGATGGTTGAAAATTCAAAATACCACCTACCAACTCTGATTAATAGTGACGTAAGCTTGGCAAATTATGAACCAGGGGTGCAAAAAATGCCTGATCTCGTGATCCATGGATTACAGGAAACAAAAGGCAAATAAAAGGTTGCAAGGCAGTGCTAGTTAAAATAATAATTAATAGCTTCATGAAGGTAAAATTGCCGCGCCATGAAAAAAAAAAAGTCAAGAGTTTTAAAACTTTTTGCATCCCAAACGAGGACTAAGTATGCCTGTTAATATTACCTGATAATGACTGATCAGTTTCAACAAAGCTGCAAAGAAATATTGAACAATTAACTGAAAGATGCAAACGTTTAAATACTAACCTGGCCTTGGTGCTGTTTGAAGGCTTGAAAAAGTCCTTTTGGATATTAAAGAGGTTTACAGAGCTCCAATTTACGTCCTTGAGAAATTGACCTGGAATGTATTTGGTTTTCTTTTTTGGAGATTTTGCACGTTTCAAAACACCTCCTAACTGTTTATGTTTTCTTGACTTCTTTTTTAGATTTTGCCTGTGACAAAGCAATAAAGAATAGATCGCATATCATATGTTTGAAAAAGTTCAACCACTGAATCCATTTCACTGTTGCAGAATTTTAAATCATCACCTCCAGATCTAAAGTCAGAATGTTTTACGTAAAAAACACATCAGACATCTACATATATAGAACCCAGCCTTACGGCAACGTTGTCATGAACCTTGCCGCACATCATCCGCGATAGCGTTGCCACAAATAGGTTGACGAAACCTTTCCGAAGCGTTCTTGTAGAATGTGTGGAAGACCCGCCATTCCGCGACAAGCTTACAAAATGGTTTCCTTAACATTGACGCAGAAGTAATTGCTAAAGACCTTTTAGGGAAACGTTACCGTAACCTTTCCGCAAAATTAAATTAGCAATCCTTTCCGTCGTAGGGTTATGGAAGCCTTACCATTAACACCTTGTTACAAGCATTTCCAATGTAACGTTGACGTAAGCGTTCCATGACAGTGTTTCCGTTAAACCTTTGTCACCTAACGTTACGGCAACCTAGACGCGCCAGGGGCAAAGGACAACCAATAGATGGAACATCCTACGGAAACGTCGACGCAACGTTACCGGCTAAATGCTCGCGGCTGCCTTTCTGGAAAAAGGTTTCCGCAACGATCCACCGGTAAGCCTTTCCGTCAAAAGGTTACGGTAAAGTTAATGCGGAGTTCCTTCCGAACTGTTTCTCTAAACAAGGCTTACTGCGACAAAGTTTCTCAAAACCCTTTTATAACCAACATTACGGCAACCTTGACGCGCCAGGGGCAAAGGGCAACTAATGTATGGAACATCCTCATGGGGAACGACGGGAACCTCATGGGGATGGATGGAGAGATTGGAGACCGTATGAAGATCAATGGGGACCATAGGGGACCCCGTGGGAACTGATGATGTGACGACCAAGGCTCATAGGGCAACTAAGAGAGTTGAATAGAGAGCTTAAGAAATTTCTAAGGGTCTGCTGGAAACCTAACTGGCAGTTTCTCGCGGAACAGCTCTTAAAAACTCACCGGACAGACTTTCTGGGGTC